TTATTTTATTTTTTGTATTAACTCAAAAGCGAAATAAAAAGTTGGAGTTTTTTATTTTGTGTGCGAAATTGGGAGGCGGACAAACGTATAAAAGATGCGAAAGAAGAAGAAACCCGAGTTGTTTTGATAGTTGTTTATGGCATAGGCTATATGATTTCCGATTTGAGAATATTATAAAAAATAAACGTCGAGGAATTAGTGTATATATACAAATGTTAAGCTGTTAAACTGCCTGGGGGAGTCAGCTTCATCAAATCGGATAAACAATAGAAAATGTACTATATTTATAAATCATGCATATCGGAAATCATATTTCAGTTTCGATCTCGGCCGAAACTTGGGAGAAATGAGAAATTTTACTCGCTCGGTTGAAGAAGAGGAACTGTACAAAAATTGAGGCGATGATGATTTTTTTTTTTTTTTTTTGGTTAGCAGTGGATTAATATAAAAAACATTAATAATTATAATCATGTACAAAGAGTTATTTTTAGTATTATTATTATCGAAAAGAAAATGAACGGAATGAAAATAATGAGTTAATCGAAGCACTTCAATTGGTGACAACAAACAACAATCAAATCATTTCAAATCATTAATTCAACAAAAATAATAAACAATACACAATTAATATTTATATAACTGTACAAGAGATATTGGAGGAAGGAGTTTTATTTACAGCGTGTGTTGTTGTTGTTTTTGTATTTGTTAAGTGATTGTAAATATCCTTAGTATTCATTATAATACATAATTGACTTATGCGAAATTCTTCTGTACAATCCTTGACTCTTGTCAAGGAAAAACATACTAAAATGATAAAAAATAACAGAAAACAAAATACGAAAATGGAACGTAAAACAAATTAAGATGAATGAGGTTTATGACACGAATTGTCTATATATATAGCCTAACGGAACCGAGTGACAACAAATTAATAGAGGAGAAAGAAACAAGAGAACCAAATTGAATGAATGGGCACATAAAATATTGCATAAATAAATGAAATGAAATGAAATGGCTATATATATATATATACATACATGCATGTATGTATATATATATATATATTTACACATATACAACTGCGCCAACAAACACAACAGTAGAAGAGGGGGCGTGGCAGCAGTAAGAGACACGCGAAATTGTTTCGACACCCTGGTCGCAAAACACGCGACTCGCTGGGACTCGACTTCACCACTGTCCCGCTTCCTGTGGCTGCTTCGCCCTGCCCTAGCCTAGGTAAATACGAAATGCCCATTTTTTATGCTCCACATACATATATATGTACATAATATGTATGGTATGCGAAAATTGTACCAACACACGCAGCCCTAGGGGACGGGAACTGTGTTTCATATTAAAATGCCCAAAAACTATATAAAACAGCGAAAGGAGTCCACTATAGTCGAGCATACCAGACTAACGTATGCCCTGCGCCTGTCCTTCACTCTTAAGGTCTGCATACTCCGATATTTATAGAATCGGATAATACGTCCGATATGGGTGGATAGCTTTGACTTCATTGGCGTTTCTTTCAGAACTCTTTTTAAGACACCCTATAGAATATTTCGTTCTGCCTTCAAAAAATAATATGCCCAAGCTTGTAACAGCTTGAATGGAAATAGCATACATATAATAAAATAAAATTGGCTGTTGTCCTGACCTGTGTTGCTTGTGCTACTGTGGCTAACAAATTACCCAGTCAACGTACCAAAAGCAGGTTGTGCCGAACACACACACCTGCACGCCTACACTCCTGCACGCCCCCGCATASACGCTCTGATGTGCGTAATGCTGCTGCTGCTGCTCTTGTTGTTGTTTTTGATGCCCAGTTGTAAAAGGCAGGGTAAACATTTTTACAGACATTTGATTAAATTTAAATATTCTCACACGAAAATTGCCCAAAGCTGCTTACGTTACGTGTTTAAATGCCGAACTACGTAAAAAATACATGAGCAGAACCAGAGAATAAACTGATAACTGTGCAAGTGCGAACTGAATATCCCTCATTTCGCTTGGAGATTCGGGTACCTATGGACTAATCATTATATATTGAATAAAAGGATATAGAACTTCCATGAGTTTCTATTAAGATGAACATAGACATCTTAGTTTATATATAAAATACTTTATGATTCTTGAAAGAGGTCATCCAGCGAATATAAGAGAGAAGTACAATCTATATAACCCCGAAATTGCAGTTTAGAAGGAAATGATAACATTTCTTCGTATAACCTATCAATAGATATAGTCACGATATCGTACTTATTTAAGTAACAACAGATTACTATTTGGAATTCCTATTATAACATGAGAAGAAAACTCCACAAATCTGTAAGCTCATTAAAGGTCAGACGCTCTGCGCAGTCCATAGAAACTCTGTTGAAGGAATGAAAAGCAGAAATCTAAAATTGGGATTGAAAAGAAAAGCGAACGAAATGCGAACGATGAGCGCAATAATAAGAAATGCGGAGGTAGTCACTGCAACAAGGTGAAAGGCGTGCGGAGCATGGGGCAGGAGCAGGGGCTGGGTTTTTCGAGGGGCTGTCGGCGATGGCGCAGTTTTGCGCTTAATTATTTTAATTATTTTTTATGCTGCCTACATTTGTGCACTCGTCTCGTCTCCTCTCAGTGCGCTGCATAGCAATTAAAATGTGGTCACCGCCCCCCATGCACCCCCTTTCCTTCCCTGTAAGCCCTCCTAGCATGTCCTTCATTGAATGCCCGCAGTGCCAGGCACTTGCGAAACCTGAGTGGTATCATGGAATTGGTATGCAAATAGTACAAAATATCCACAGCTGCTACGCAAGATGCTGTTAAACGGATCCTCACGAAAATATGAAAGAAAAAAAACATTCAAATAATTATTTCAGAAACCAAGCGAAGGGGGCGCAGTGAGGGAGATAGTTGGGGCGTGGTTGGCTTTAGCTTGCTAGCTTGGCACTGTCTCTAAGCCGTATCTAGAGTGTGGTAAATAATTGACTACAGCTAATGATAGTTACACATTGCGCTTAGTAAATTAACTAATTAGAAAGGGGGCTAATGTAGTATCGCCATAGAATGTTGAAGGAACTATATATTATATATATACTTGAAGAGTATGAAGAGCTGAAGAAAATCATTTTAAGGCATTTGCCTAATGCTTTGATATTTGAAACTTAACTTCATTAACAATAACTGTATAGCTAAACACTATAACTTCCACATAGATTCAGTCTCGTAAGTTCTAAAATTATGCGGTTTGCCCATTTGGGAATTGGTTATTGGAAAACATTGATTAACATTTTAATGTATTAAGCTGTAGCTTGTTGTACCTTTTGTACCTTTTGGTTGTGTCTGTGAAATTGCTGATAAAATAATAGATGGGCATTTGTTGGTAAGTCTATACTAGTTGCCAGTATAACATAGCTTGCTCTTTGTCTTGACCAACTGTGAAAATTGAGCATAAACCAAATTCAATTAATACGCATGGCCAATGGCACAAAATTTTGTATTTCAAGTGAATTTAGTTCATGTATTTGCATAGAGTTTTTCGAATAATTTTGCTCATTTCAACAGAATGCCTTAGGGCAGGAATTTGTACATGTGTGTGTATGTTAGTTTAGTGTAGGTGTGTGCGTGTTTGTGCGTATGACAGTCAAAACAAATAATGACATAAACCTAATAATGCCATTGTGCCATTGAAGTGATTGTTTTATGGGCGGCTAATCAAAATAAACAACCACCCATTGACAGACCTCTCGCTCCCGTTGCCACTGCCGCCCACGAACACGAGCACGCCCACTCCGTCGCCTACGCCCACACCAATAGCAACAGGACTCCACTTCAGTTAATACGCCTGTCCTTTGAATTATAAATGAGATCTAAAACTCTCGTTTAATATTTAAACAAAATCAAATAAAAATAAAAAAAATAAATAAAAAAAAAAAACAAGCAACTTGAGAGGGAGACCCAAATAGGGCGAGAGAGATAAAAACAGAGTGGCACACGCTCAAAGACAGCCTGACAGACATGTCACTCAGTGAGTCAGCCAGCCAGTGAGTCCGAGATAGATTAAACTGGAGCACAGTGGGTTGAGCGTCGGCTACATGAGTTGGCGCTTTCAAATCGATTCAAGTTGACTGGTTCAGCTTGCACAGCCAAGAAACCCTAGTCGGAGCCGCAGTCACATATCGGAGCCATAGCCATAGCCGGAGTTGTGGTCGTAGTCGAGGTCCCGAGCCGTGGCTGGTGTTTGCAGCACTTAAACTAATTTGATTTCTATTGAGGCAAACAAATAATAAATAATGAATTTACATTTCTATGCGTACGCTCGTAACCATGTCGTAAGCCAACCGAGAGAGATAGACTGCGAAGGACATAGAGGGAGCGAGAGCTTGTGGAGGAGAGACTACTCTAGATACTTGTATGCAATTAGGGACTTAGCCTTACAATTAGTTGACTATAATTGCAGCAGACCCAGAGACAGGCGAAAACTTCAGCACTAGACATGCTAGTAAGCGGATTAGAGCAATTAACCATTGAACTCCTCGGGGTCTCCTCTCTTTCTCCACATCGTATAGATGTATAGATGTATATATATATATATATATATTTAGTTGTGCATATAAGCCTTTAAAAATGGGAAAACATAAAAGCCAGCACAAGGCGGGGGTAGAGCTGCATGCCTGTGTACACTTTCTGTAGCACTCCAGACTGCACTCAAAAGGATTGGATAGCTAAAACCATTCACACAGACAAATTTAAACGGAGCACCGATGGAGAGAAAAGCTCAAGGAGAGCTGAACCTGGACATACCCTAGACAGAAAAATCGACCAAGCCTGTTGTGAAACCAATTTTGTAGCTCGACTTTATATTTATTTATGCAAGACGTCAAAGTACAAGCAGAACCCGCAGCAGAAACTACCCAATACAACAAATCATTCAACTACAGAGCTTCACAATGTACCCGTCAAATGTTTAATACACGTAGAAGTTTTTCATTTGAGTTTTTTTTTTCATTTTCTGAATTTAAAGCTATGTTTTTTGTACCCGTTTTTAAACGGATATGGCTCCATGTTGGGGCTATTCGCTATTCGAACCATTGCGTGAAGACATATAAATAAATAACGAAATGAAATAAAATGCATAAGTCGGTTCAAAATAATAGGTGAACTTTAATATTAAAACACGAAACAAAAAACCTCAATCCACTTAATGGTTTTTCATATGGAATTCTTAATATGCAGTGAGCAATATATAAAATACATATTTATACATATTTTTTCATAAATATTGCGAGCATTTTTTGAAGTTTTTTGTGAGATGAGCAAATGGAATTTTACAGTGAGAGCGCTGTGAGTTTTTCTTGGTGAATAGTTCCATTCGAATACCACAATTATGGATTGATGGCTTTATAAATAGTATAAAGGTGCTCTTGACCAGAATAAAGTTTTAGTTAACTGCGTGTGCTGCCTTTAATTGCGTTTTCATACTCGTTCACGATGTCTGTCTGTATCTATTTGTTATAATACATATTTTGAATTTCCCATTTGAATTACATGAAATAGAAAGTTTCGATAGTTTTTATAATGTAATCGACCACATATACAGTTAATTGGTATACTTTTATTGTCCTCCTCTATAAATAAATAAATCAAGTAATATGCTTCGCCCATTTGAGCTTTTTTGGACTGTGAACGAGTATTAACAGTCGATTTGGCCCGACTGCAATGTTCTAACGTTCTTTTGAATGACTTGGTGAATGAGTATTTTTATTTACACAATGAATCGAAGAGGCCGAAAAAAGACAATTTTGGTCTTTATATAGAGAGCTCCATGAATACAAAATATATATCATATATATAAATCGTAATATGTAGAGTAAGTAGTCATTGGAAGTGCGTATGTACAATAAACTAGACAAGTTGCGCAATTTAACAACAATTTCTGCATACGGCGGCCTTGAAAAATATATAAATTAAATAAATTAAAAAACAAGATATTAATTTAATCTAATTCTCTAATGCAAAAGTTTGCAAAAATCCAATGAAAAGTTGTATTTTTGTTTGAATTTTCTTTCTCTCATATAAATGCGATATAGAACTGTACAAAGCACTCACACTCACACACACGCAAACGTACGAAAACAGAAAAGTAAAATCAAAATATATATAATATATATTTTGTACATATTTGAGGAATCAATTTGTATGGATGTTTGTTGTTGCTGTTGTTGTTGTTGGGAGTTGATTTTAATTTTGTTTTTTAAATATTTGAAGTAAAGGAAAAATATACATATCATATAAATATTGAATAGAGTTTTGCAAATATATATATAGATATATATGTAAATGTAAATGGCTTTTGTTTTGTTAAAAAATATATATTCGGAACAAACAATTCAATTGTTTAAGAAAAAATTTTATATATATATATATTTACACAATTTGTTGTCGTTTTTTTTTTTTTTTTTTAATTATTTACAGTAATGAAAACTTAAGAAAACTAAAGTCAAGCAAAAATCAAAAAGGAAAACTAAAAACTTTTTTTCTTAAATTGTTTTGCGAAAATTTCTTTTATTTTTATTTTGAGTTTAAAGCTGACGCGATTATTTTACTTTATACAAATCATTTTAAAGCTTTAATTGAGTTGTTTTTTTGTTCTTTTGGGTTCTGTTGGGAGGGGTTAATCTGCTAATCCGCTAATACGCTTCAAGAATCGCAACTAAGTAAGTTAATTGGATTGATTTTAACGATATATATAGTAATTGGATACTGATAGCTGTAACTGTATCTTGAGAAAAATTGCTTTATCTATATATACATATAT